TTGAACCTGAGCTTCCTCAGTCCTATGCTGACACTCTAAGCACAGCAGTGCAGCCACCTGATCATTGATATACTGTAGACATTCATTGGGTAGTTATTCCTAGGCAGAGCGGACCCATTCAAATTAATGAGAATTAAGTAATTATTAAAGTAGTGATGATTAACCTAAGTCCAGTGGGTCTACTCTACCTAAGACTAACACTGAACACTATGCAGTATATTAAAAGTATGGCATCCAGATTGATATATAATTAAGCAAACTGTGCAGACAGGGATGTGCAATCACTGCAGGAAATGCGCGTAAATACAACATGATTTCTGCATTGTTCCATGTGGGTTAGTTCACCAACCTGCTTTGAGAATTCATATGTTGAACATGGAAAACGTCATTGCTAAGTTTGATATTCTGCTGTTCAAGCATTTTACACAGTGAGGACTCACTGCAGTTTGCCTTTTATGTCTCGCCTACAGCCTTTATATTTGATCCGCAGTAAAGCCTCTGCATGTTGATTTGAGTGCCAAGTGTTGATGTTTGAGTGGCACAGGCATTTTATTGGGAAACAACTGGGAAACACACAGATTTAGTAATTCTTATGACACAAAGTTTTCTTTTTTACCTACTCTGTGATTTGTGCAATCCAGTGCTCTTTCTGAAAGACATACAGAGTATGCTCCTTATTAGCAACCATAACTCTTTCTTATGGCTGTTTAATCACAGTGAAAATGTTTTGCACTTGTTATTCTCCTAGTTCTCCTTAAACTTGTACCTTACTCCGAGAGTTTCTCTGTTATCCTGCAGTGTGTTAGCAGCCTGAAGCCACCTACTGCTAAGAATGTTCCAGAGTCAGACAGTAGAGCTGTATGGAGTCAGTTTCGTTGCTCCAGTGAACGGAGAAGAGTGGTCAAGCACAAACGGTAAGCATATTAATGAGGGAACTCTCCCTTTGAAAGCAGTTCTCTCCCTAATAGAAAGCCATACTGATTTTTAGGCTGACTGGCCATGACTGGATTTATGTTACTACAACCTGTTTCTATGGCATTTTCAAAAGGCTATTGCTGGAGCCACATATTTCCTAGCTGGAATTTGTGGTCTGAATGGATTTAGCCTCTGGCACCTGTGTTTGAGACCATGTTTATACTTTTGTCTTGCAGAAACCATGAACAACAGAGAAGATAATTGGTATGATGCATCAAAGGAAAGTTTAAAACTTCAAGATGAGGGAAGTATTAGCAACAGACAGTGCAATTTGACTAACACACAGTATAGTAGAAAGCCTGGATAGTTCTATATGGGAGGAAGTAGTCTAATGCCCAGGCTGTCCTCTACCTTTGTTATACAAGAACTTCAGCCCTTTGTATTGAGGGTTGCATTTATGCATATGCATAAAACATTAACAACCTAAGCCTTGACCCCACAGTCAATTATCTGGAAACTTTCTAGAAAAAAAATCTATATATTACAGATTTTAAGCAAATTTGTTATGTTTACTCCCCAATTAATGGGAATGACAAGACTTCCACATGGTAGGCATGAAACAAGAAGCTTCCTTGTGGCAGGAGCTCAAAATCTGCTTGGGGAATAATACCAATGCAAAATGAGCCTTTTATCCGGGAGGAGAAGGAAGGACTAAGATAGCAACAGGTTCAAGCCCATTAGGGGAAACAGCAGAATGAAGGCCATTTCACATGGCTGGCTTGCAACATCCATACCAGAAGCGGAAGAAGGGAAACAAAAGGCACACTGGTGAAAACTTATCTGGATGTTCGTTTTCCACTCTGCAGAGTCCATTTTGAATATGAAAATTAATCACATTTCCAGTACATTACTGCCAGTATATTTGGATTGGGAATCACTGTTAGGTCAGTAGACACCTTGTCTGTTGGTAAGTAGCCGCCCATGTTTTCTCATATCAACCCAAAAGTGAGTGTGAATTTCTGCTCACTGTGAGACACTCTATTGTCCTGTACAATTTTTATGTGAAAAAGTAATTCTAAACCAGTGAATTTTTTAAAAAATGAGGAAGACTTGGCATTTATTCATTAGCATTCATACTCCACGGAGCAGCTGCTCAGTGTCAGCCTCAGATTAAGGAGGTTGCTTGAGGAGCCCCAACCCTGTGGAACAGCACCTTGAAAAAAAGTACAAACCAGAGCAGATACAAGGAATCCCTGTCTACTACCTTCAAAATTAAAGAAGCAATGGTTGTAACTGAGGGAAACCAGTTACTGAGAACATTCAAGGTGGAGTGGGATGCAGAAACAGGACAGATGGACAGGGCTGTCCCCTTTCCTGCCCAACAGGGCTCATGTTTGACAGCAAAGAAATATGTGTTGCATACACCACGGCTTCACTCACAGGGTAGGTATGGCTACATAATTGTCTGCCAAGCAACTTGTAATACAGTCTGATTGCAACAAGATTGCCCCCAACTTCAGAGCAGGAAAGGTGGAATCATCACAACAAGAACAATAGAAAAGACTGGATTGTCATATCTGATTTTTATTTGCCCTTGATAAAAAGCTATATTCAGAATGTGTGGGGATCCATCACCTGGGTGTCAACAAACAGCTGGAGTCACTCCAGCCACTGCTGCAGGACATGGTAAAAGACACATACATTCCCTACGTCACACTGGGAGCAAGGGCCCAGTAAGTTACTCAATGAGTAACAAGTAGGAGCTTTGACAAAGTCTCTAGACTGGTCTCCGATGCTTAGTAGGCATTTACGAATGACAGAGAGTGATCCAGAGTGCACATGCAAGCAAGTTGCTAGCTGAATGATCTTCTGGTTCCTTTGATCAGCTTGCCTCGCCTTGTTGAGGGAAAGAGCACAGTGAAACAATATTTAATGCTGCCCTGTAAGAAACTTTTTATGCTGCTCCATGTGGCCAGGCTATGATCATGCATTGCAAAAGGGCTCGTGAACATTTGGCCAGCAGTTATAATGGTTGAAGCAGAATGCCTGGCATTCACCAACAAAATGCTTGGTTGCTCTGAACATGGGTTCATGTTTTAGTTCCCTGTCACAGTGTGCACTTACCCTGTCAGCAATGTGGCGCAGCACCAGAACTGTGTGAATGAACAGAAATAATCAATCGGTATTGTCTTTTTTTTTTTTTTTGTCCCTCACCTACCGCAGGTTGGACATGATCATGGTCAGCCTTTTAGACATGCATTCAGCCATGTTGCATATTCATAGAAGAGATAATGGTGTCGTAACACTACAGACAATTATGACACCTATCCTCTCACCCATACAAAAGCCCCATTGGCATCTCTTACCTTGGCCTCCAATCCGTACTGACACTGCTACTGGCCAGGGTCAGGTAGAATTTAGGTGCCATTTCATGCCTCAAACCTGCACAAGGGACCTTGCCAAGCCCCTCCCCCCAAAAACTGTTGCATTTTTCTGGGATTGGGTTATTTACTGCCAGCCAATACTCAGCACAGCTGAGGTATGCAGTGGCACCACTCACCAAAGTCAGCCCATAAGTCAATCCTGGAAAACCTGGCCAATGACACTCAACCCCAGTACAAGAAAATGGATCAAACCTATCAAACTGCTGGACGTAACTTAGCAAACTTTAAACTACTATACATCAACCATTTCTTAGTTTTGCTACTTCAAAAGTAGCACAGACCACCCCCAAATTGGCTTCTTTTTTATTGCCAAGTTTCAAATCAACCTTCTGACTGTTTTCTTACTGCCCCTCTAATTACTAGTTACAATGATGGAATGCAGTTCTTCCGACTTGCCCTCAGCAAGTGTGGCCCTATAATTCTTGTTGCTGCTGACATGGATCTAATTGAACTCAGTTATGTCATTTTTCCATCAAGCCCCTTTCCACTCGCACCTGACTGGTGCATGGCCCTGTATCAGTATAGTACTTTCCTGAGTTTTTATACTGCTGTGGTAATCTTATTCACTTTATGCCTTACACAAAGCATTAGACTGGTTTGTAGGTCAGTGAGTGCTACACTCTGCCATCCTGTTTATAGTGTAGGCTGAATCTTACTTGTCCAGCTGGCCAGTAATTTTCCACATACTCTAAAAGACCATCTCTCATCTGCACTGTACATTCTTTACTTGTTTTGCTTTGGAAAGATCTTTCATTTGATCTTTACCCATCAACAGAAGCAATATCTCTTGACTCAGTCTGCAGACAGCCTGGAACTATGGCTCTTAGATATCTAAGTGCCCTATTAATTTTGTTAAAGGAGAAGAGATAGATAGGTAGTAATTCAGAGGCCTAATGACAACTTCTCTGCTCTTACACTTTATGGCTCTCATACATTTATAGGGTAGAACATGGAAAAGCAGAGGCAAGCTCTCCAGATATTTTGGACTTCAAGTCCCAGAGCCTCAGCCAGCACGGCCAATAATAGGAATGTTTGGCACTGATATCCCAAGCACTCGGGGATCTTCTTTCTGTCCACTCCTGAGTCATGGTGCAGTCCTATACAGATCTATCCTGAAAGTAGCCCCATTAAATGGAGTGGAACATCATCTCAGGTAAGTCAGTATAGGACTGCAGCCTGAGTCTTCAGTGTATTCATCCTGTACCTGCAACTGGAGGTTGATTTTCTACTAGCTGAAAATGAGACATTGCATGGAGGGGGTTATATTATCAGCTTTCCCCAACCTGGTGCCATCCAGATCTTTGAGACGATATCGGTTAGCTTCCTGACCATTGCTGATTCTGGCTGGGACTGATAGAAACTGAAGAGCAAAACAGCTGGAGGGCACCCAAGTAGTGCATGTTGTACTAGGTCAAGCTGGCCAATGTGGCTTGCATCAGTTTTGCCAATATAATGGCCACCATGTTTCTCTTTAGTGTTGGTATCTGCCTCATGGAACCTTACACATTCTGAGTAAGAGACTTGGTAACTACTACAAGCTACTTTCTCAAAAGATAGGCTAGCAACCATTTCTTGCTTTTTGTCTTATTAGCCTTTGGTACAGAAGTAGGAAAAGCTCTAAGAAATATGGAAGAGCACTTGTTTGTCTGTTCATTTGTTTAATCTTCATGCTTGAAGAGAAGATTTTAAAAAGATGGCAACACATGCCATAGGCCCTGGTAGAAGGTTCTTAGTGCCTTTATACACCTGCAAGGTATATAAGCAGAACTCCATTTATATTGCTTGCAGTCATTCTCAGGACTGTAATGCGAGCTTCCCTCACAAGGAGTGGTGGTGGTGGTGGTGGTGGTGGTGGTGCGGGGGGGGGGGGAGTTTAGCAGGACTGCAGCAGGACAGCAGAAGTCACTCTCTCAGTTTGGCCAGTCTCAGTCAGGTCCCTCCATTACTGTTATTTAGGAAAGCAAAAATAAAGCATATTATATACAACCATATATTTCCCTTTTTGTCTAGTTTGATTTTTCTAATTACTGTTATCTGAAGTTAATGAACTTCAAACTGAAAGGTCAGTATCAGAATTTTCAGTCTGAGTGTGCTGTTTATGATTATGAAGCTTGAGTTATATAGCTTTGACTCCATTAAAATATACATAGTCATATTAGGATAATTATATCTAGCCACGGTTTCTATATTTAGATGCCAATTCTATTTATATTTATACAGAAAAAAGTGCATGATGTCTCCTCCATAATATTATAAAATATAACTAAGAGTATATTCCTAAATATATATACTCAAAAAAAAAACAAAACGCCCATTGAATTTAGTGGTCCTAGAGTATGTATTCTCCTGGGAATAGCTGCGTACCTGTACATATATGCAACCTGAATATCCAAGTGTATTCCTATTTCTTAATTACATTACAAAGAATGCTTTTATGCTTTTTAAAATCATGAGGTTCTTCTGTCTCTACATGCAAATGCAGAACTCTATATGCTATTTTAACACCCTGGTAACTAAATCTTACCTTTGTTTGCTGCAGTTTATTTGGTTTCTCCTTTCAACTCTCCTGCCCTTATTTTTCCAAACAGCAAACATCAACATATAATTACACAACACAGTCCTATTCATGTTTACTAAGAAAAAGCATCACTGAATTCAATGCAGTTGCACTCCAGGGTAAGCATATCGGAGTGCAACTTTAAGTACATTAGTACATTCTATGGTTATATTAAATAAAACGTACTTACTTCTATTTACCATTCCGGAAATATATCAAACATCACCATTTTATATGTTAAGCAATAATCATACTCACAGGGCAATCCTACAAAAATCTAAGTCCCATTTAGTTCAATAAGGATTACTGCGCGGTAAGTAGGTGTTGAACTGCAGACAGACTGCTCTCTCAGTGCATTTCTACGCATGACTACGCAGAAATAAGCCGCACTGAGTTCAATGGGATTTATTCCCCAGCAAAGCGAGCCTAGGATGGCAATCCCAATGTAGTAAAAAGCAGATTAGGCACATGGAAGCACCGCAAACATTTCAGTTCCTCCACAAACTTCCATCTCCCCCGCCCCGCCTACGGCCTCGATATTTCTGTACTTGCTTCCTGCCTCGCACGACGTGAGAAGAAAAACGAGCGCACCTGTTGGAGCCATTTCTTTCCGCTCTCCCCCTCCTAGCGCCTCCCGCCGCTCCTTGCCCCTAAGGCTTGCCGCTGGACTACATTTCCCATCTTCCCCAGCAACGCGGTCACTTCCGGGTTGCCGTAGCCGGGCGAGGAGGGCAGGCCAGGCGAGGCAGGGAAAATATCGGAGGCAAGGCTGTGTGTTTACTTCCGGCCACCCGGAGAGTGAGAGGCACGCAGTGTGTGTCGCTCACCCGCTCCGGCTGGTTGGCTGAGGAGACCCGGCGGGCGCTGCCTCGGGGGCGGGAACCCAGTGGAGCCGCCCGGGAGAAGAGGAGGAGGAGGAAGCGGCGGCGGCGGCGGCTGCGGAAGAGAGGAGCAAGGCGGGAGAAGCTCCGTTGTGGGACAGGCACCCATGAGCCGCCTCAGAGGCCGGAGCGGGCGGTGAGGAGAGGCGCTCGGGCGGGCGGGCAGGCAGGCAGGGACAGAGCCGGGCCGCCTGCTCGTTCGCTTGGCCCAGCACCGCGGCGGCGCCAGCAGCGGGCGGCGTCATGGACTGGCTTATGGGGTGAGTGGCCCTGGCTGGCTGCGTGTGTGTGTGCGGGGCGGTGCTGTGAGCGTCCTCGTGGGAGCAAGTCGGTGATTCTGCAGAGCCACTCGCCCTTCTCCGTCTGTGGGGTGCCGAGCGGTACTTGCTGTTTTCATGCCGAAGGGCTGCCTTTGACATGGCCCCGGGTCAGTTACCCGCGCAGGAAGTTGTAAATTGTTCTTGAGTAGTATTCACGATGGCTTAACTTGGATTAGTTAGTTTTCAGCACACTTTAACTCTCCATATTTCTGCAGTTTTTCGGTCAGGATGGCTTAAAAATGGGAAAAGGTGTATTAATGTTTATTTCTTATACATAGATACTTGTGTGAATACATGCAGTATTCAATTAGTGCTTTGAAGTCTAGAATCAGGGGTGATGGTTATGTTAGGTGAACATTCCTGAAAGATGTAATATTTGTATTTGGGAACACTCTTGTTTTTTCTCATACATATACTCTCCTGTGCAGTTTAAGAATCAGGGATTATAAAGACATGCAAGCAAGGGATTTCTTGGATCACTGGCGCGTTGGGAGGAGGGCAGCAAATTTGGCCTGAATAGGAAGGTGCGTATAGATGGCATTACAGTAGAAATCTTAATCCTGACACCAAGATTGCGAAGGAGGAGCTGCCAGTGGCAGGAACCTTGAGAAGGGGTACAGAAGGGTGTGGTGTGAGTGAAATGTGAAGGGCTCAGTTCAGTGTGACTAGCACATTGGCTTCCAGTGAGTATGCGGTGGCCAATATATTAAGGATTGCTGAGTAGCAGGAATACTGGATCAGATGTCAGTAAGTGACACTTTCTAATCAGAAAATATGGAGCATCACAGCAGCTGTTTTGGGATCCTGTGTTGCAGGAGACCAAAGGATGCAAAATGGTTAGTAATATCTGGTTGAGTATGAAGTATGCTGTACCGGTGGTAGAATTTGCAAATGGCCCCTCCCCCAAAAGAACTTAAGACTAAAAAGCAGTGATATAATGTGCATCAACACTAGGAGGAGAAATATTTATGGAGTGACTCTGTTAAATTTATCAATTGGCCAGAACATGAAAATTGGCTAATTGGGTTGTAGAAAGAAGAAATGCAGAGTACAAATTTTGCCATAACTCAGCAGTGCAGCAATAAATTGGATCCAAAAAAAGGCAAGTTTTAGCATATTCTGTCAGCTTGAGCTTCTGTTTTTGCAGTAGCTCTTCAGATCACACCTTGAAAGTTTTCCAACAGTTTGCTTGACAGAATGTAGAAGAGGAGACCTTGGCAGAAGTTAAGACCAAATCATTGTTGCTCTGGGGTGGGGGTGGCTGAGAGAGCCTGGCATTAATAGAACTAATTACACAGGGAAGCAAGCTGTAGAAAACAATTTGCTTTGGGTTTTAGGGTTGAAAATCTCAGGCGGGTGAGGGATGCTAGCTGTGCCAAAGTGCAGAGATCTGGCTGCTCGCTGACTGCATGAATATTCTTTACTAGGATTAACCATGATTGATTGTGCTGCCCAATCCAATGATGGGTCAGATGTCCATAAGCATGCTTTTAAGATACTTGGTTTTATGAAGTAATTTGATCCCATCCTGGGCCATAATATTTTACCATGCTATTTTAGAAAAATCACAAGCCCTTTGTATCCATGGGAACATTGTTTTTATTGTTTTGATGACTAAAATAAAATCAGAGTTGTTACAAGAGGACAAAGTCCTTCATGTTGAAAGTGATGCTGCTCCAGAACGCTTATCAGAGCACCTGCAATAAGCTTTAACCTTAGTTATCAGATTATGAAAGCAAGCTGTTGGAAACTCAACAATGGAGATGGCAAGGTTCCAATGAGTGTTATACATTTAAAAGCCCACCAATGTAAGAATTAGTCTTTGCATTCCAGTTCTGTAGGAACTCTAACAGCTTTCTTTTTTCTTGCATTTCTGGGGCAACATGGGAATCCTCAGATCCCGTAGGAGGAGCCATTTCAGCACTTCATGGGGGGTGGGGAGGATCAGCAAGTGCAAGGAGCATGGGATCTTTCTCATGCAAATATGGATAAGATTTTCCTTGTGCTCTTCTAAATTGGTAAACAGTTGAACCCTAGATTTTTTTGATGCCTTGGTTAAGAAATAATTTTGCTTGTCTAATAAAATTCGAGAATCAATATTTATATGTGTTTGATCTTGGTTACTACTACCTTACACTTTCAATACATTATCAACTCTAGTGGTTCCTGCTTTGTCTTATATATTCTACTTGTGCACTCCTTTTGCTTTGAAAGACACAATCTTTATAAGTTGCATGCCCATTTATTTAAGTATTTACATATCATTTCTTGGTAAAACCACCAAGAATAGAGTAAAAGAGATCAAAGTCAGTATTTCTAAAGCAAACTTTATAGTCTATTATGATAGCTATATCAAAGTTTTGATACTTGGCCATATTCTTAATAGCAACTAAAACATATGCTAACCTTTTGAAGGAAAAGGAAGTGTCTGAGAATTGAAAATAGCCTGAAATAACACATTGAATGTTCTGTGCTTTTCTTTTAGCACTTAATTTTTATATGTAGAGATGTTAAAGTGGGCATACCTAAAATGTTTTGTTTGCAATGTATTTAGTAAGTACTTCTTCCTTGTGGCTATAATTGTCCATGTTCTTTTTGTCCTCACTAAATATAATAATGGGATATATTCTATATTTGTACTTCATATCCTTGATACTAATTGATCTGACCAAGTATTTATATTTTGTAATGAAGAGTTCTGGCTATTAACACTTACTCTAGATTTTCAGTATTCTGTATTCTGAACTTCCCTGTCATTTATGGTTTTCAGCACTTTAAAGACTCTAAGCTAGGATATCTGAGAATAAACTTGGTGTAGATGAAGTGTTTCCTTGTCTTTTAACCATAATGGAACCTTCTGATGCTTCCAAGTTCTTAAGAACTCCCTTCCTTATCTGCTTCAACATTAAGCATGTATACGTCTGCACCTTGATTAGCTTTACAAAACAAGCCATGGTTAGTGTGTTTAACTTCAGTAAATTTATAATATAGCTTCATGAGTTTAAACTGAGGAAGAAGATCAGTGTAATTAGTACAGGACCGTGCAAGTACATCAGTCCCGTAACTATAGTTAACTGATCAGGAAATACTGTGTCTGTGCCAAAATTAAGAGGAGGAAATGAAACTTGAAAGCCTTGTTGGAAAGAACTAATCAAAGATAGTATTGCTCAGTAATATTGTACTTCTGTTTCAGTGTATTTATTTTTGGAACAATGTTGTATTAATGGCTACTACTGACAGTGACAGAGTTGGCCTCTTTTCTCTGGCATACGCAAACATGAATAACTACCATCTAGGCACAGTTTATGTTGTCCTAACCTGGATGATAGGACTTGTGGGATGGTTGAACAACTTTCATAGTTTATGGGTTGTTTTTGAATTATCCAAGTGTTGCTTAACTCTCCAACAAACCATGTTGCCAGGTTCATATTATGCAACAAAATGAGACCTAGATGCGATTATTCATTTTGCATCTCCTACTTGCTGTGGCTTGAAGAAACACTGGGCAAACAGTGTATAACTTCCTGACTATTATGATGATGATGCCTTTTTTTCCTCTTGTGATGAACATAAGATGGTTTACATAACTCCATTTTATCCTCATTAACTAACCTGTAAAGTAGGTTGGGCCAATTGGCCCAAAGCACTCAGGGAGCTTCATGAACAGGTAGGGGCTAGAACCCGAATCTCACCCATCCTAGTCCAGCACTATAACCACCATACTTCACTGACTTCAGTTTTCCGCTTGTTCTTTCTGTGATCTGCTGAAACCTGGGGAAAAGAGCTAATCAAACTGCCTTAAGTGACCCACCAAATTTTTGTGACCTTTCATTGTACTAGGTAAATAGCTCATATTTTGTTGCTGAGCAGTGCAGTCTTAATGTCAAGGTTACTGATGTAACGGTGTGGGTGTGTGTAAATCCTGTTACCCTGCAGATTTCAAATATGTTATGCAATATATTATATATTTGTAAAAAAAATTAGAAGCTCCTACATATAGTTCTGATGGGAGTTAAGAGCTGCTTTATTGCTTTGTGCATTTAAAACTGATAGGGGTCTATTGAAAGTTTTATCTTGTTTTGGAAGAGCATTGAATGCTCTGTAAGAATGCTGGCTCTTTACTTTAACTGCTAGAAAGAAAACACATTCTTTGAGTTATATAATGTTCCTTAATTTAGATTTTAAAATAAATATGAAGGAACAAAACTGTTACTGAATTGTATATTTGAATATGACAGGATTTTATCATGGGATTCAGCATAATGTTATGTGCCAACTAAAATGATTTACTGAAGAACTGCTTGTTTTATGACATTTTTTAAAACTCCTAAGAGCATTGTGAACTGTAAACCTAAAATGTTAGAACACCTATCCCAAAATAATTGTTCAGATACTGCTATTCCTGTCATACCTTCAGTGGTGAGGTTTTACACAAATAGTTTCTTTGGCTTCTCTATGTAATAAGCTTAGCAATGCATTTATTGGCATAATTAGTTTCTGCCTGAACAGGGGTAATACTCAGCTGTCATAGTGTGATTGCAAGGGTTACAGAAATATTTGTGAAGCTTTTATGCCTGGTACCAACA